GCTTCCAAGAAGAGTAAAAACATCTGGTTAAATTACTATGTGAGTACAATATGCAGGGAAAACCCTGTATCAATTGCATATAAAATAAACTATGGATTCAATCCTTTTTGATTTCCAAATGTTCAGTGTGATCAGTCTGTTGAAATCACATCTCTAATACACGTCAGCACAATGCTAATTGATGTACCGAAATTATTCTTTTCTGAATAAAATCAAGTTCTGTTCTTGTTCTGCAGCTCCCAATGTTTTAAAGTTTAAGTCTGTTATGTGTGCTCCCCCCAACCAAACCCCCCAAACTGGAACGGTACAAACTGTTGCACACCAGCGGTGATGGCTCCAAGGGACTGGCTGGACGGAGTTGTCATGTGTCTGCCTGTCTACACTTGCTGTGCAGAACATCCTCTCACCTGTACAGCAGGCACAGACAGGCAGTCGCATGACAACCCAGCCTGAGGGACAGCCGCCAGTGGGAACCCGCTCTGACACACCAGAGCATCTTCACCAACAGCTCCAGCCAAGAGTCACTCTGGATCTCAGACGGCCGGTCAGTAACCAAGCCGCGTACTGCAACCCACCTAGAGTCAAACCAACACTGCCTATAAAATACAATAAAACCCACTGCTGAAATTTTTACTGTGCTTCCTATAGTACTCTTTTCCTAGTTGTCTCATTAACTCACTAACAGTAAGTTTTATTTATACGCAGCTTTGCAGCACCATTGTATGTTTCATCCTCCCATTTACTTCTCAGGCATAACTTAAGCAACTTGCATTATTAGATTATTATATGTATAAAAATCACTAACATTCCTACTAGCCACAGAAGCAGAGAGCAGCTTTTTGTGTGGCAAGTTAATTCTGTAAACATACATAATATGGCAGACTTTTGAGGAACTTCTCCCATTTCCACTCTCTCATTTCCTCAGTTACTTTCATATCTCCCTCCAAATCACACAGAATTTTACAATGGGGAATAGACTGTGAAATTATAATACAAACTGCATCTATCACTGGATGTTGACAATACTATCTTTTCCTACTGAAACAGAATGGAAATATATTAGTTGGAAATAAGATTAAGGGGATTTTTCCAAATGTAAACTTCATATTTTTAGAAGTTCTTATCCTAGAGTCCAGCTTGGCATCCTTTGCTCACCAATAATTTACCCAGTGAAATCTCTGGATGCTTTGAAAGGAATAATAAAATCACATTCTCCGACCGTGTCCTGGTGGTGTATGCTACACCACTTCACAAATGACATCTTTTCATTTACAATAAAGAGCTTTTTCATTCACAAGCTAGTAGGGTGTTCCACATTCCCAAAGTCCATTTCATCCTAATGTAGAGTGGCTAATTCACTAACTTCCTATTTGCAGGTTGACTCTCAAATGAACCTTAGCACAAAAGCTTCCAGTGTTTTGTGCTACTTAAAAAAACAGTACAACTGAGAGCTAAAATGCTAAGGTCTTTTGTGTGTGTAGCTATGCCTTGCAATACTTTATCCAGCATTATATGGAATACTCTATAAAAGAAATCTGTATTTGTGAGAATCAATGAATGTGCTAATCTTGCACTTATTTACAGCAGCCTCAAAGTGGTGCACAATTTTTCTTGCTTCATTTTAAGCAAGCAGAAAAGCAAAAAGTCATGGTACTAGTCAAGAAGCAAACTTATGACCACAAGCAACTGCAGGCAACTTCAGAAACTAATTACTATTCTAATCTAGAATAGTATTCACTACAATTGATAGGGCAACTGCTTTAACCACAGTGCTCAAAACCAGACTTGATTATTTCAGCAATTACAAGACTAAAAACCATTCTTAGGCACTGATTCCCATCTATCAGGAATAAAATCCTGTTGTACGTTTGAGCAGCAACAAAACCACGTCAAGAAACCAGTCCTTTTTTTTGGTAATACTGATATCATACAACAAAGTTTGAAAACTTCTGCCAAACTAACTTGCTTCAAAATGCATTCCACTGCGGATTCATCACTTATAAAAGCTGCAGCTCAAAAAATAAAGGAAATCATTTACATCCTTCCAATGGCACTAGCAAACAACCACTTGCATTCAGATGGTGATCTTCACCTCAGAGTGAACTCCAGATCATAGAAAATGGGCTCAGTTTACGCTGGAGGAGTACACAGCCCTAGAGGTCCTAGCAAGCAGTGCAGGTTTGTAAAGCACATTGGTACACAAACTGCTACAACATTCCTTACTCAGGGGTAGAGGCCCGGGGGGGGGAGAACTCTTCTCTGTGGCAAGAGAACAAAGCTGAGACCTGACTTTCAGCGTCTTCCCAGCCGCAATGGACAGGATCTTGCTGCTGTGGAAGGACTGCAGAAGTGACCAGCTCAAGTGGGAGGCGCAAGGAATCTGAACTTCCTACGACCTCACAGCATGCACAGCCGAGCTGGGCCTGGGCACAGTCCAGAGACATAAACATGGATATCACTTCACACATCACTGAAGACTACGTATCTTACCAGGCTGGAAATATACCAGCATGCAGCCATTTCAATAATCATCTGAGACAGGATGTGACAACTATCAAACCAATCTGAAAGTGAGGAGAACATTTATGAGAGATGAAATGTAATTGTAAAAAATGGAATTCAGCCAGGAGATCAAATATTTGCTTCTTTATTTCCAAAGCTAGTAGTTCTGTTTCTGAAACAAGTCATCTTTTGACTAACCTAACGATTGAGCTGTGGCTTTGACCTTCTTCAGAAACCAGATTTTACTAATTTTTTAAGTCCTACTGAGAAAGGCTCAGTAGCAAGTAAAAAAAAATATAAAAAAAATAAAAAATTCAAAATAACTTTGTGACATCTTTCCCAGGGCAGAATAGTCAAATTATGCAGCAAATCTGTATTTAAGGAGGAACTTCTTCCATCAGCAAAGCATGGAATAGTACTACACTATTATCACTCTAAGAAATTCCTGAGTGATCTGCCATATTGGCCTGAATGAACTACTTGCATTTTTATGACTCTTTAAACACAACTCTTTGGCAATTAAGAGACATTATTTTTAAATATGCATATGGAAATCACTGAATCAGACAGTGGCCATCTCCCTCCATGTACTATTCTGACATTCCCAAGTGACTCTCCCTAGCACACTGTCAAAACAAAATATTTTTAAATTTGCATAACAGAAGACATTCTCTAATTATTTGCAGGAATTGCTATATTTCACACTAAACAAAGATCAGACTCAAAAAAAGCAATACCAAGACTACTTTAAAAATTGCCACAGTGTATCTTGGATGCATCTCCAATTGCTTGAGAAAGAACATGGCAACGGGTTTTATTCTCACCATGTCACTTCTTACAGTAACAGTTACCTGTACCTAATCTAAGTTCTAGTAGCTTCAAGACAGATCACAGAAAAACAACATCTTCAAGTTTTCAAACCCATAAAGGCACTTTTGCATTTATTTTTTATTTTTTTTTTGTGTCATTGTAATAAAATAGTTCAAGTTTTATTTCATTAATCTGAGAATAAAACTTTTCCTCCTGACACTTAGTTGCTCCTCTCTGACATGCACTCATTTTCCTGTCACCGTAAATACATGTGAATCCATTTAAAAACTAAATAAAAGGGCAAGGGGAAAAATCTTTGAGATTGGCCTGGTTTGTCTCTCTATCTTAAGGTCTATCCCAAAATGATAATCAACCCAGGTAAAAATAAACACTACTAACCAACACAGTTTCCACCATCAGCACTATTACTGAATAGCTACCCATGTGAAGTCGGACCATTGTGGTTTAACCCCAGCTGGCAACTAAGTATCAGGAAGCCACTCACTCATTCCCCTACCCCACCCCAAGGGATGGGGAGGAGAATCAGAAAAAAGAGCAACCACATTCTGGATTCACAGACTCAGCAGAGTTCTGGCTTATGTACACGCATTGTGGGACCTCTCCCTAGCGGTTCTAGAAAATCCACTGCAATAAAACACTAGGTTAATTTAAACAGAATATAAATTTTGTGCACAGTCCCCATCAGCTAACTCCCTGTTTTGCTGAGGCAAGCCATTGTTTTGATTATTACTTAGAATAAGATGGAAAGATCATCTAAAATTTTTAGAGCTCATCTAAAAATTTCTTTACCTGTGCCTCTCCTCTTTTATCCAACAAACTGGCTCACCCTAGGAAAAATCACTAAATTTTTGCTGAACACATTTAATTTAGAAAAACAGGGCTACGTTTCTGACACAAAAATAAAAATTAAAAAAAAAACAAACTGAAAAAAAAAACAAAAAAAAAAACAAACCCAAACCACAAGATCTTTACTCTACAGTTGACAGTGTAGCACACATAATAATCCTATTACTCCATTTTAACCTTCAAAATTTAACAAGACTGGGTTTTGGATAGAGCATATCATTACCAACATTGTGGGAAAAAATTATTAAAGAAAACAGACAAACTGCGTACCAACATATTCAATAAAGTGAGCAACTGATCAGCAGCAACATTTCTTACCAAGGTGTATTTTTTCAAATTTGAAAATCCATACCAACCAGCTATAGAACACAACACACAGGCTTTTCATCCTCTTAGAATACAAGGCCAGAGAACAACTGCCATTAAATCAATTGCTCTAGTTATACTTAGAAGTAACTTTACCTAGACAATTCATGATCAACATACGATAGATGTGCAAGTGCAGTCCAAACAGGTATAGGACGATAACCAGAACATTCCAAAATAGGCTGCCTTCTCTCCTCATCCCAAAACCAATGTGTGGAAAAAATTAAAACAAAAAAAACAAACAAAAGCACCCCATATAGTACTCTGTATTTCTTATCAACATTTCAACAGAAGTCTTGGATTCATTTTCCATGAATGAAACCCAGAAAATTTAAAGGACTCAGGTAAAGCCTTAAAACATTCTTTCCATTGAAGTCTGTACAAGCTTCTATTTTAAGGTGATCTCAGAAGACTGAATATTGCCCCCCCAAAGAAAAAAGTTCTTCATTGCTTACCTCGTCATCTTTATACCAGGATAAGCTTTCTGCAGTTAGAACGAACCAGTATTCCTTGGATCCTCCTTTCATGATGCCGATATTGTTGATGGTCAGCCAGCCTTTTCGGATGACCTGCGCAGAGGTGCAGTCAGGCACAAGTTTAGTTCATTACTCAACATAATTCTGCAGTTGCGTTCACTAAATAAATACTTGCTAAGAACAAGTGATTTTTTCAGTCTCTGGCAAATTCAAGAGTTTTTGCAGGTTCCCATCATTCAACAAAAATATAACCAACCAAAAAACAAGGTTCAAGTGAATATAGTGTTTGCAGTCAAAAGCTTGGGAAAAAAAGAGAAGCTTAAGTATTATTGTGTTCTACCTACAGCAAGTACGTGTGCATTAAGGATCTTGTAAACTTGAAGATATTTATTTGCTGTATAATAACACATTGTGAAAGTCCATCCAAGTACATATATGACTAGTCTGTTCTAGTCCAATTGTTAAGTTCATTTGTAAAGTTGGATACTAGAAAAAGCACCTAGATTCTGGCAAAGTGAGTGGCTTCTGGGATGCACTGGGAATTTTCAGAAGTGGTGAAACATGTGACAAACTGGAGAGGTCTACTAAAGGTAATTTGAAATTAAGATAGAAAGTGTTAAGAGGTATATGAGAGCTGTTTTCCTCTCATAAGGTAGAAGAGGAAAAGAAGAAAAAAGAATCTAAAATTAAGGTGGCAATAAAAATCAGGGGGGAAATGGGTAAAGCAGAACCTTGTAAAACAGATACAAGTCAAAGATGAAAAAACAGATGGAACAGCATACCTATACATACTAAAGCCTGGAGGCTACATCATACAAAGAGAAAGAGGAATAAAAGAGAACTTAAGAGTAATGAGACAACTCCAGAGGTGAAGAAGAGAGAATGGTCATGAAAACTGGTCTATGGATCATACAGAAGCTTTCAATTTTATTGGAACATTTATTGTTTTCCAATATATTTATGAGAAAGCAAGCTTGCTTTCCTATTATACTCTGAGCAAAACAACAGAATGCTCCCAAACACACAGATGCAGGGAACCTCACCCATCCTGTTTCTCCCCACAGCTACATCCTTTACTTGCCTATGAAGCATTAAGAGGGAAAGAAGTGGCCAAAGAAGCCCTTCAGAATTCCCTCAACAAGTCTCACAGCATGAACTTGTGTGATCAAACATGAATTTCCTCTTGCCTTTAGAGAAATATGCAAGACTATGACCTTCCTCTCTTAAGATTTTACAAGTCTAGTTACTCCAGTATCAACAACCAAGCAGAGAAAAAACATTGCTCAATATCTATTCCTCGTCATCTATAAGAGTTTCAGAATCATGACTCACTGCCATTCAGCATGCACATTCATGTGAGCTCCTAGAAAAACTAGCTTTGGTATCGCAGAGAGCAAGGGACTAAGTTATACCTGACAACTAAACCAAGGAAAGAGATGAAGAGTTGCAACTGAAAAGCTGATAAAATTATTGGCAATACACATAATCCAAGAGCACCAATTTAATTTCAAATAAGATGATCATGTTTTACCCATTCACTACTAACCAGGCCAGCAATGTAAGAAAACCACTGAAGATCCAAAAACAGTCTACAGGTTTTCTGTCTGTAAGAAAATCGCTAAGAAAGCATTGATTGGGTTCTGAAGAGTCAGTAAACTACAAAAGAACTTAACAGAACTCCCATAGAGAGACTTGAAGATATAGTACAGGCAGAGTGAATACAATAGCCTGTACCACAAAAGTTTCTACAGAAGTTTGTCATTATTTCCAATATTCACATTCATCGCAGGGGAGGAAGAGGGAACTGGAGAGAGGACATTATTGAGTACACATAGACATGGAATGCTTGTTTGAGTGCAAGTTGAGGGAAACATACTGACATGAACTCGATTACACATCAAAACCTCATTTTATTTTATGATGTTTATTGAAGTATACTTTTAACAGGAAACAAGCAACATGCACATATAGCCAGCGTACTGGCCTTCAGGCAGCTGCCACAAAACAAGTTGTGGAACCACATTAATGTCTTTTTTTTTTTTTCCCTGCACCAACTACACAAATACAAATGTAAGAGATTTTAGGAAAAAAAAAAAACAAAAAACAAAAAAACAAGGAAATTGAAATTCCACAACCACTTAAACTTAGCTCCACAACAAGGTGAGCTATATTTGTACAGCAAACAAAACACTTCACAGCAAATGTACAAAGGTGTTTGTTCCCATGGTATAAAGAAACTGAAATAAGAGGCTGTGCTGTGCAAGAGCATGCTGTTGAACCATGCTCTCTGCAACTGAAAACACTGTGAATGTGAATATGCTTCCTTATAAAGCACATCACATACAGGAAGAACTGGCAGCAGAGCCAGCACACTACTGAAATTGGTTTGGACACACATCTTACAGAGGGTGAAAAAATTTGAAGACAGGTATATCACAGCGGGGATGAAGAGGTGGTTTCTAGAAGCAAACCAGTAAGAAACACCTGAGTAGCACGTTCTAGAACCTTGCAGGTGATGAGCAATTAAAAGGGAAGAGAAGTAGCACATTTTGCTTATTCCATCCAGTGCTCTCCCTCACCATTACCAAAGGTTTTGTAGCATGTTAGTAAGAATCAATTTCCTCAGTTTGAGAGGAATGCATTTGTGGCAGAGGTCTCAGAACAGACCAAGCCACGGTTTTAAAAATCTAAACTATATAAACCATTTTAAAAGTAATGAAACTTTTAACACTACTCATGTAGGATCTGCATTAGTTGCATAGCTCCAAAATAGTCTTTCTCCAGTCAATGCATCTCCCCATAGATACATAATCATTGTTGGGTGTAGACAGAAACAAACCAACTTGCTGATACAAACATTGGTCACTGTCTTGTAAAGAAAGGAATTTGCCAGTTGTTTCCTCAAAAATCCTGTGTGCTGAGGATTAGAACCAGCTGTCATTCCCACACAACACTGCATGAAAAGCAGGGCACCAAACTATAGTTTACAGTAATATATAAAGACAAGATATAAATATGTATATAATATATAGTGGATATAAAATACAATATATAGTGTAATTATATAATAGATTAATACATTACATAGTATATATTAATATTATTAGCTATAATAAATTATATCATATATTATATTAATATGTTAAAATATATATAGATACATATGATATCTAATATATAAACAAGATATAGTGACATCTTGGGGTTTATGTGCAAATTTCTACCCTGTTTATCTACACCTCCTGGGAAAACAGGGTACTATGTTTTCTAAAATATCCTGGACACTACAACAGATTTCAGTTATCAAAAAAAACTGGAAGCAGTTCCAGGGGACATGAAGAGAGAGAAGATGGACTTATTATGTTAAGCCTCCTGTTCTTTTAATTTAATTGTTCCTGTTTCCCAAGCACATTTTGTTAACTACAAAAAATTACACTTTCAGAATACTCAGTACCAGTGTTGGGGTCAGGAGGGAGGGAGATGTCAAATCAAGGTTTAAGTGCAAACAAAGTGAGATTAAGCAATATAGTTTTCTTTTCTGGAGAAGGTAAATTACAACTAAGACACCAGCCAACTTCTCAAATAACTCAAGCTATATTTTAGAAAAAATGAACTTCCATGAGCAATAAGCAAAGATTTTCTAAGAGACTTCTGAAATTAAAAAAAATTCTGATGAGGGTGGTTGTTTTGTTGTTGTTGTTTGTTTTTTTTTTGTTGGTTGGGTTTTTTTAACTATTGTGTTAGATATGTTGTATAGCACTTTAGTTTGAAAAAGAATCTCATTAAATAGTGTGTTTCATTATTGTTTTCACTAGTTCATATTCTGGTTGGTTTGGACTGAAGAGATCCATTTCAATATTTTCTATCATATTTCTAAATGTCACTCTGTGCAAACCAGATATTATCAACATGAGTTGTGCATGTCAGAAAATGAAATATATAGGCATTGCCAGAAGCTAGTGAAGACAATATTCTGACCGGTAGCTGGACTCCATGTACAGGATAAACAAGAGATGACACAGTTCCTTCCTTCAGGGTCCTGATACCTAATCTGGGTGTCTGAAAAAATGAAACTTAGAGGGTACGAATGCACATGAACAAGCCAGAAGGAAGTCATATTCTGATAGTTCAGCTGCACAAGACCCAAATCATATCTGTTGTTCCTATTCTCCACCACTTCACGTATAAACAGGAAACCAGGATTTGACACAGAAAGTACATTTTATGTATTCTTGCAAGACTTATTAATTCCATTCCAAATAGGTATTTATAAAAGAAATACATTAGAGAATCAAATTAAAAGAAGTATTTGAAAGATGATTTCAAGAAAAGAAAGAGATGATAAGTGAAATTAACTGGACAGACAGAACTGTAAGTGTGAAAATTAGGAGACTAGCTACTTCCATAATACAAGCAACAGCATTTGTTGAGCTAACAAAACTCTCTATTAAAGCTGTGTTACATAACTCCATAGAAATAATTTTGAACACACAACTCCCAGCATTACTCAGTCTTCTAATCACTGTCATAGCAATATGCGTTACCAAATAGTAAGCACATTGAGAGAACAAAAAAAATGCACAAACTACGAGGCTTCCTCAGAAGCCAGTGGTTCTTTGGGTTCATTTACTAAGATTCTCACGCTTCATAGGCTAAAAAAGGAGCAACAGATTAGAAGGGAATCCTAATACACTACTTCACTGTAATTTGCCAAAGGTCAGAGTGTAAATTGATCAGATCTGTTCCAATAATGAGCACAACTGAGATTTTGTGATATTGCCTCCCCCAAATATCACTCCACAATATATTGCATAACTTAAAAAATGACAGCAGTGGCTTAATTCCTAAAAACATGTTTACTTTAAAGAAAAACAAAGTCTTTATTGAAGCAAAGCACTTGGTAGTGAAAAACTGAAACAAGCTTCCAAATGTAGTTAAGCAAAGATTAAGGTGATCAAGTCAATCATGAAAGAATCTTAACCTAAAATATAAGTATAGTTAAAGGCCATTTTGAATCTTGGTAAGGTGAAAATTCAACAGCAGCATGTCTCATTCAAGGATATTTCAAAGTTTACCATCACATGGTTGTCTGCAGGCACCACCTCTTTTACAGAAACACTGTCATTTCTTAACAGAACAGCCTTCTCATTATTTCTCATGACCAAGGCACAAGTTTCCATTTCCACCTACTTGCTAAAAAGAATAAATAAAAATATTCTGTTTATATAATTTTCCTGGGTCATGCAAAATACCAGGATTTAAGTGTATCTGAAGAAGCAGTAAAGTACGCTACAAAGCGGGATTAAAAAAAAAAAAAAAAAGGAAAAGGGTTACTAAGGAAAAAGTTATTAGCACTACAGTTTAGGCCAACTGATGGGGTCTGAATGCTACTTGTGTCCAGAACAAGTGAATCAGATTGCTGGTAGAAGACCAGATCAAAGACTTCAAATCCAAATCTCCAAATAACTTGGACAGTGACTTGAAACTCTTAATTCAGATTAAGCCCCTTCTCCAACTTCAGGGGCTACTTCAGATTTTACCACAGAAATAAATCACAAAACAGAATTTCATATAAATTTTATACATTTCTTTGTATTTTGAGTATCTTGCATTCTCACACAGAGAGTATTGATTGGGCACATGGAGCAATGACACCTTCATCTTCAAAAGTTTATCATGATGGGGAGCTTTAAACACAATTTCAGTCATCAAAACAAATCTCAACACACAAAATATAGTTAAGACTGTCAGCTTTCAGGAACCAGATCTTGCTAGCGTGATGTGTAAAAACAAGCATTACACTGATTATTTCAAGCAAATTAGAAGACAGACTAACCTGTGGCTTAAAAAGAAACTTTGTGGAGTCAAGTCAAAACCTCAGGCGGTAGCAAAGAAAACACAAACAAAAAAGGCCAAAGATTAAGTGTGAGATGATATTAGTAGACAAAAGAGAAGCAAGAACATGCTAAGAGGAACTGGCATTACACTTCTTCCAAAAAATGGAATATTGCGCTCATCTGATTTCTGAGACACAGAAACAGTGAATGGTTATCTGCATCATTCTAGTTTAAGGCAAGCTACAAAAAAAGGAAAGCAGTTGATTGTAAATGAGCATCCCACTATTTTGGAAAATTAATGATCTTGATCTCCCAAGAGATTAAATTCAAGTGCTACTGAAATCAGTGCTGCCTTGTCCTGTTTCCTGTATTGAACATAAGTCTAGTTTAAGTTTGTTTGAAGTTATAACTAACATAATGTGGTGATTGATAACCAGAAAATTATGTTTTCATCATAGATATTACTAAAGAATGCACATGATAGAGATTTACTTCTTACACCTAACCATCAGTAAACCAAAAGTAACTTGTTATAAAATTAACTACTGTTTAGACAATTAATTCTAATTAGTAATATTAAAGGCATTCACATATTTATTTACTCATGAAGTGGAAGGGTTAGAAAAGAGTCCATCCATGACATTGATCCTGCTGATGCTATGAAAAGAATGCTAAAAGGGCTTTATATATTCCTAAGTTTATTAATAAACTCACTTATTCTATCAGAAGCAATTCCTTTACATAAACAAAATAACATCAGTACCTGTATCGACAAACAGCACGTTCATTTATGCAAGAGGTAATGTTTTCTTTTGGTTACCAGAAACTTATTTGCCTACCTTTCAAAAAGAGGTTTACTATGAATAGAGGCACACACATCAGACAAAAACTTCTTTCCAGTTATATAAAAAACGGAATTAGTTGGTTTAGTTTGAGAAGCTCAGTACATTATAAAAATATTAAATTTATTCAAAGTTTTCTACAACATTTTAAGTTATATTAGTTCATACTTGTAACAGCAAGTTAGTAGCAGTTAAGTGATGAACTGCAATTATACTTTGTTGAGGAAGTGTTACAGACAAGACAGTTTAACATTAAATAGTTAGGTACCAAGTATTCACCAAACCAATGAGTTAGAGACAAACTTTGCCCTCTGAGAAGCTAAATGGAAAAGCAACAATAAAGCTTACAGAACTTAGCTCGTACAATTTGCCTTGAAGGCGGTAGATTGGTTCCCTGAAATAGCAAATTGCAGAAATGAAGTTTTATTTCAGAAACATTTTCTCATTCTTTTCAACTCCAAACAATTAACTTTCAAACATCTGTTTGTTATCTTTAAAATAAAAGGTTCAGCAAAGTCCATTATGCCATAAATAATCAAGTTTCAACATTTAAAATGCCAAGCTTTTTCTCCACTTCTGTAGAGAGAGAACATTCACTTAATTAAAAAATCATTCATTTTATTTGTGTATTTTTAAAGACTCTGATAATTAGTTGATTTTCCTTTTATGGGACACTCCAGAGTGATGACGGTTGTTGTGTTTGACACGTGTTCCGGCAGAGCTAGATAAGAGGGAAATCTCTCCTCAGAGGGGAGAGACTTGTCTTTGAAGTCCTTTCAGTGTTTAGACCCTTCAGCTTTTTTCATTCGAGTCCAAACCATACATTACATGAAAAATGCCAGTCATGCTGGTCAGGCTGTGGAGGACCACCACACCCAAGAAGCCGATGGATTATTTAGAATAACATCTCAAAAATAACTAGCAATTTCTTGGTGGAAGGAAGATGTTGGATTTCTATCCCCCAAAAAAGCTGAGTACATTTTCAAAAAATGCTAGAACTATCATCTACAGCAGCAACATCAGGTTTACCACTTGAGGGATCCAAATTCAGGGGTCATATTTGAAAACCTTGACCTTTGACCTCCTGAGCATTGTTTGACCAAATTGCACATGAAAACATCAGGAAGATGTTCAATACCAGTAATTATTTATACAAAATGTCATTGTCTTATTTTTCCTAGAATTTGTTAGCTCCTTTTAAAGTATGCAGTAATTCCATAGCATTTCATTTCTGTTTAAGACTTTGCAAAACCCTCAAAGTGAGCAGAAACCAAGGTTGTAACATTTTTATTATTTTCATCTCATATAAAAAAAAGAGGACTGATCCTGTGAAGTACTGAGCACTTCTGGCCCACATAAAAGCAAAGAAAGAAGCAAAGCTCAGAAGCACTTAACATGCTGCAGAATCAACCCCATATTCTTATATGATAAAAAGAAATAATTTCATTAATGAATAAATAATAATTAATCAGAAACAATCCAGCAGTTATTCTTTGTTTACTTTGAGAAAGGCCTATGATACACAGCCAAAATCTTTGTGAAGTCAACTGAAAGTTTTCAGAAGAGCTGAAGGCAAATTCACTTTTGCTTGATGAATTGCCCCTTCACTGCTATTAAGCTATGAACATGTAAGAACGAGTAAAATGACCATCAGAAGGCACACACAAGCAAGTACTCACCAGCATTTTGGATTCTGAAATTCAGAAATTTGCAGTTAATGACAAAATACATTGATGTGTAACATGAAAGATACAATGCACTAAATGGCATGGGAGGGGAGACACTAACCAGCAGTGTGAGCAGCAGCAGAAATATTAAACAATAAACAATGGTAACAATGAAAGTCAGGTGGCTCTGAAAAATTCAGTAAAACAAGGCAGTGATTTGATGATGTATTTTATGTTTGAAGCAGAAAAGGTGAATGATACAACAAATTAACACAGCCAAGAAAACCAAACAGCTTGGATTAACTTGCACATGCTATAGTCCATTCTCTGTTAGGTGCCTACCTGATTTCCCACTGCACTTTTGTTAACCTGACTGCTTCTTTGTTGGGCACTAAGGGAAGCAGAGGAAAAGAGTTATACTGAAGAAACTCAAATTAAACCAGTTCCTGAGGAACAGAATTTAGCAGTAACAGTTACTTCTGATTCTAGCACAGAAAGCTAGAGCAACATAGAAACACAGCAAAATTGTTGCATATATGTGCATATTGCAACTACTTTTTCTTACAACATAGGGATGCCGGCTTACATGTGCCTGCTCAGGACAAAAGGGAAATGCACAGCAGATGGCTCCTACTAACCATCTCCTTTGCAACATCATCCTACTTGGATTGGTAACGACTGCTAAAAGCACAGAGAAATTGTGGCTCATGTGCTTAACTTGGGAAACACTAGCCTCTATAAATATTCAAAAAAGACAAAAAGCAAGCCATTTCTTTTACTTAATGCAATACAATAAAATTCTCCCCTGCTGGAGGCTCCTTAATAACTTTGTCTTGATGGTTTGTTTTGGATATTATTCTAATATTTATATGCACTTTGAGGATGTAAATATAACCATGGATGAAGCTGTCACAAAGCTGGTTCAAAAAGCTGGAATAGTATAGAACAAAACATATTTAAAATTAAATCATATTTAAAATATTTTGCTTAATTCTTGAACTCTGGTAATCCCAGTTCCTGAAACAATACACACTCCTCTCTCAAGAACATACAAGTTGCCATTAATTCTAAAAGCATTTGCATTACGTGGTGGTTTGTAAGTGTTAGGCCACAACATTAAAATACTGCTGGAAAGTGGAAGAAAAGCGTTCAGAAAGCAGGCTTTGGCTACTCAACCACCAGAGTGGCCACTGGCACCAGAAAGTTTTGTTTGGATTAGATTATACCATTTCTCCAGGCATTGATTAACTAAGAAAAAAGCATACATATTAACCAGCTACAAACACTGCTCTGAAAGAGTAAGAAAGATGCCCTTCACAGCCTATGGGCCAATCCTGCAACTCTTTTGTGTATAGCTGCTGTTCCAAAGAATTGCTGAAGCACCAAGCTCAACCCTGTCCCAATTCTGATCCTGCCCTGCAGACCATACTTTATCAACCTAGCAGCCCAAATGCTGTTCACAGGAAAATCCACAAGGATGTTTATTTCATATGTCTGTTCACTGGACTTAGCCCTCAATCATCCAGGCTTTCTGGCCAAATAACACTGCATGCCTCTGGTGCATCGTCCAGAGTTGCACAAGCTTTGGTGAATAAATTATGACTACATACAAAATAACGTGCACACAGAGAATACAGCACTAATCTCTCACCAATTCCAATCTGTTGTTTAAAAAACACACAAGGTGGTTTTAGGAAACCTAACTGTCATTCAGTTTAGTTTTTGTTTGTCCATTTTGTTTCTTTTTTGTTGTTGGTTTGGTTGCAGCTTTTTTTGTCACCTTAGGGAAGCTAATTAGACCACTAACATCATACTTCAAGCCCCAGGCCTTTCAGACAGCAATTTGTCCTCTATTAACTGTTCTAAATACAAATTACTCTCTATGTAGATTAAAGCATGTAGCTATACCTAAGTTACACCAACTGGAACCAAACCTTACTCCAACATTTTGCCACTTGCTCTGCTAAATGAGACAAACATTAATATTCCAGTTTCATCATTTCATAACTATGCAAAGCTGTTCTAAATACTGGCATTCTTAAGTCCTTCTCAAGTCAATTCACATCTCACTGTACCTGCCTTAGGCCCCACAACATATTTTGAAATGTCTTGTACTCTCATGAGCAGGGTTCACAGGACTTACTCTTATAAAACACTGAAGTCACATGAGACAACTGGCTAGAAGACTCAGCTAAAGAAAGGAAACACTAAGGAATCTGGGGAATCTATAGTCCAGGATGATTAGATATTGCAGAAAATTATTTACCCCAAAATTATTATATTTTCCAGTTTTAACACAATTGCTGTAACAGTAATATGGTTATAGTTTAAAATGTGTTATCTTCTACTGGTTAGCTTATTCGTTAGTATATTTTACATTTTACATTCTTCTTAGTTATCCAAGTTTTCTCTTCCAGCTGAGCACAAGTCAGCAAAGATACTTCCCTTCCCATCCCTACAGAAACACTTGCTTAAGCAAACATAAGCAAAGAGCCATTTGTTAATCTGTTTATATCTCATTCATAGCAGCTGGGGATTTCTAGATCTCAACTAGCAAAAGCAGCAGCAGCTTTCCCAAAAAAATTATCTTGGGCATTGCAACTCCTTGGAAAAGACAGCAGTGAGGACCAAAGACTGAACTACAGGCCCCAGCAGCAGCATCCACAAAGGCAATTTTTCCAGAGGAGAGACATAATGAAATAGCTCCAGATACACTTGGCTCTCCAGAATCCAAGACTATAACACATGGAAGGTTCCATCTTGACACAAGGAAAAGTCTTTTCACAGCGAGGAGAGGTACGCCTTGGAGCAGGCTGCATAGAGAAGCTGAAGAACCTCTGATTTTGGAAGTTTTCCAGATCTGATTGGACAAAGCCTTCAGTAACATGGTCTGAACTCAGCACTGACCCTCCTCTAAGCAGGAGGTTGGACTATGTGACTTCCCAAGGTCACAACACACACCATGAATATATATGGAGTGTTTTTAGCAGGCTTTTTCCTGTCAGAAAAGGATGAAGAGAAGTAAATAGTAGGCAGGTTGTTATCTTGACCTCTAGAAGGCCAGCTACCATTCCTACAACATCCTGTCATTTGTCAAGAAAACTGATAAAGATATCTAGGACCTGCAAACAATTCTAGAGAAAGTTGCTCAAACCAAATACATAAACAGTGCCTGGCTTTGCTTTCTCCCCCCTCAGCTTAGTGAACTCCATGTTTTAAATCTTCAAGGCATACTGGCAAAGATGTAGACCTTCCTCCACAGTCCTAACTAGAATAGACCATATTACGATGTGCACTGTGATGCCAAACTTTGTTGCCAGCATCCCACATGGATGAAACCTGCTATGATTCCAAACACTGTTATGGCAAATATGGCATGAATATGATTGAAGAACAATTATTTTTCAAAGAGTGAAGACATCCTTAACATTTTTACTAATGCCAAAATGTTGGTATGAAGTCCCTTAAGCACAAATTGCTGGAAGCTGAGGGAGCACATTCTGGAAAATATTCTTACAGCTTTTTCAATTAAGTAAGAACGTCAAACCAGGCCCTGCAGGGCATTCTGCTACTATTATTCTCTACAGCCAAACAGCAGGCACACATATAATTCAGTGACATCCATTACTCTGAGTAAAACCATTTCACACAGAATCACAGCTCCCAAAATATGCAATAGCAACAATGTGGAAAGACCACCAATATTATACATTTCTGTGGTCCAAAAATGGATACAGCAACGACATCAGCTTGCCAAAGCTGCTTCCCAAGATGCATGTGATTCCAGACCAAGACATAAGCTTCAGCTTCAGTAAAACTAGGCTTGTGAATTGGGGTAAAGAGTCCCCTACAGGCTTAACAGATTTCAACAGTGTGTATACTGAGAAAGAGCACGTCTGGGACTTGGGAGCTTACATCTTCACGATCCCACTTCAGAACCTGTGTTCTGAACATCTGAAAAAATATATTAAAAAAAAAAAAAGAGGAAGAAAAACACCAAAACAAACAAAAGAAAAAACCCCAAACAAACCTGACAGTGCCTTTATAAGAAAATCTCTATATACATACTTTGCAAAGCCAATGAAGTCTTCATGGTTGGTGTTGATGTAAGAAACCTGAATATCAATCAGCAGCAGCACCTATTAGGGAGACAGAAGAGGAAAAAAAGGATGGGTAAGATGGAGGAGAGAGATTGAGGGAAAGGGAGAGAGGAAAATAACAGAACTTCTCAGATTTTTGAATTACTGAATATTACTTTCATAATCATTCAAGCCTAAAGCAACAATATTTTCTAAATCCCACTACTTCTGTTTGTGTGCTCATTTCCTAAGCTAGACTACAAAAGAGCTATTCCTTCTTACTATTTTTTTCCCTGACAGATTTCATTTTTCACTATCTTGGCACTTATCCACTTCATTAAAATGAATCACACATGGCCAGAGATTTTAATAATATATAACATAGATTCTAGCTCTATGTTTTGCAAGTTAAGCAAAATTCTAATTCAGCAAAGAGCTTGCTAAAATGTTAGAGAAAGCTCAACTCCCACCCTTGAACAGCTTCTTGAACATGTATGACACTGCACTTTCCCCCTGTTTTTTCTGACTTCCATTTATCAGGAAGAAGCAATGAAGAAATCCATCACTACCAAACAGTAGCATTTAATCTCCACAAAGTGTATAGAGTTAGCTTTGTACAACTCCTCAAACACTGCATCACTCCCAAATTCTTCACAATTTCCAGAAGGTATCAGGTGCCTCACTCAGAAGCAAAAGACAGCGGGAATTTGGGTTTAGCTCTTACCTCAGAAAATATTCTCCCTAGTGTTCCATTAACAAGAACTACTAACAGCATGAATAATGATGGGAATATTTCTCAATAACCTATCTGGTCAACTCTTTGCATTTACAGAAAGCTGATACTTTCTACTTTGTTCTAGGAAATTGCCAGGTATGTGCACACAATGAAGAATACAATAATAACTAACTAAATAAATAAATAAATAATTTTAAGTAACTTGTACCTTTTTCCAACTGAGAGTGCTACCCAGAACTCCCTGCAAGTACAAGCCCAGCAAATACAAGTTTTTAAAGTTACTTTTAAGTCTACATTCACAGCACAGATTAAACAAAGATGCAGGACATGCTGTAGAGCTCCCTAGCTCACACACGGACAGGACTAGAGAGCCAAGAGTCCAGAACAACTTAGGGGCTCTGCCTAGTTCTTCTTCCCCAAAATTTTCTGTTTTCACACTCTGCACTCCCCAGAAAATAATTCTCATTTCCACTTCAGTGGATTTTCTTAATGTAATCTAACCTTTGAAGTTTCCTGGATTTGGAGTGCTTAGCTGGGTGATGAATGTTGGGGGGTGGGGGGGTGGTTAAACTTTTTTTAAACTTGAAGTAAAGCCTGTCAGTCCTGCAAGAGTCCCAGTTACAACTGATTGTGGGCCTGACTGTAATTAGACTATGGGATGGGTATGTTAAAAAAAATGGAAACAAAGTTAGGTATTGGAAATTAGGATTTCCTGTAAAAATTCTAGTCTCATCTGTCAAGGCTCTATGGTAGAAGAGCAGTTCCCCTCCCCCTCTAAAATGTGAAGCCTGCTGAATACAAAAACAAGCAAACAAACAAAAAACACCAATAAAAATCTTCCATTGTCTTATTGTACTTTGTATGCAAGAACTTTCCTCCTGTCATAGTTTAAGCCAAAACAAGGACACCTCCTTCACACACTTCCCCAAATGATCTAGTCTCACCTGATCCTTGGTCTTCTCTTCTCTTTCACGAATGTAACCAGCAACAATTCTTTCCGTTTCCTCACACAACCTTGGGTATGTTGCCAACTGAAAAGCAAAACTAAGGTTCCAATTTGACACAAGGAAAATTCTTTTCAACAGTGAGGAGAGGCAAGCATTTGAATAAGCTGTATAGAGAGGCTGGAGAATCTCTGATTTTGAAAGCTTTCCAGATCTGATGGAACAACTGGAAATTTACACCTGCAGGGTGGCTTCAGTAGAACACAAACAGGGAAGTCTCCAGCTTACCTCTCTGGAAGAAAGTAATTATTATAAATGTTTGGGCTAAAAGTTAACTACATTACAAAATAAGCCTTACTTGCTATTAATGGTCATTTCCCAGAGAAACCGGAGACACCTAAACCCTTGGATTGTTTCTATGCTTTTGCTCCACAAAACATTGAGGAAAACACATTCTGGACATGTGAACCACAATTCATCAGCCTTGGCGTGAGGTTTCTCCATGCCTCTCTTTTCTACTATGCCTAATTCCAGAGTAGCACTTTAAATAATTTCCAGATTTCTTATTTTTTGAAGGCTCCATCTTGTGGCAAGATCTTTACATCTCAACAGCAATACTTGAAAATGTTGCAGAATGCAACAGTAAATTTGGCCAATAGCACTGGGAAAAAGAATCTGCATGATCAAGTCAAGTGACATATCTTTCAAACTTTGACAGAAGTGAAAAAAAACTGGAAACACTGCTCAAAATATTGCAGTGAATCTGTTCATGACCTTAGTCAAAAAGATTGTCACCTTTTCCTGTTCAAACGAATAGCTCATTAACCTGATCACTGGTACAAAAATAATTTGCATTATTCAGAAAAATGCAAGAGATGTGACAGGCTATTTCTCAACAGCTTCAGCATACTTGTGTTCACATCCCAAAACTGGTCCTATATTTGCTACTGTTAGGCTGCCCTTCACTCTGAAATGGTGGGAAAGACAGAGGAACAGAAAATGAGACAATAAAAGTAGCCAGGTTAGCTAAGAAGTCTACAAGAAACAGTGGGGTCTTCTACAATATCACTGATTAATGGGAGAAAAGAGAATTGAAAATCAGCAACTGTTGTCAATGCTCCAGGCAAGTGAGTCTCAATATTTGCAGATGACAACTTTCCTATGAAGGTGAAAAGTGTGAGGAAAAAAAAAGAAAAAAAGATTCGTACTAATATGTCTGACACGCTTCCTCAGCCCCTACTGTGGGGTGTGAAGTCTGAGATTTCATTCTAGAAGTACAGACCAACCCAAGCACACACTTCAGAAAACCATTCTCAAGACTCATAGTACTGCCATCTTTAGTTCTGATAAACGTATTTCTTAACTTATTACACCTGCAGGATCTCAATTTAAAAGTTTAATTGCTGCACACAACTTTCACATCAGGAAGTTCAATGCTCAGCAGTTCTTTGCACTTCAATATTTCTGTGCAGCAAGCTCATTTGCCAACACTAATACAAGGATATACAAATACAAGGGAGATGAAATCTTCCTAGTCTTCCACTTCTAACTTCTTGATAGCTGGAGATCAGATATTTTGGAGTTGTGCATGAAAAAAGCACAGGAAAATTTGTGGACCCATTACATTGCAAAGAACTGTGGTACTGCTCAGTAAATTTTCAATATAGAAAGAGCATTTTTCTCTCCATGACAGATGTCTCTGAACACATTTGAGGTCTTTTCTCTAGAAAAGTTTTGCTATATCTTCCTCTTATTGCAACTCTTGACTCAAAAAAAAAATCCAATCATCAGGTGTATATATGTTCAAAACACAGGAATAAAAAAAATAACATTTCCAGCATTACATTGTTTTGAAAGTTTTGCAGAAGTTGTAATTACTTAAGACAGTCTTACTCTGTACATCAAGTGACTCGGTCAGAAACCTCTTAGAATACCTTAACAAGCAAGATATGCTTTGTTATCTACTATACCATTACGTTATATTTGCATTACCAGATCTATCTGCAAATTACCTTTTTAGTGCACTTTTTGACAGTGTTGATTAACTCTTGCATCACCAGATCCACACTTTTTAAGCAAGGTCCTTTCAGCTTGACTATCTGCTTCTTAACAATGGCTTCAAACGCCATATCTGGAGTGAACAAACCTGTTCTGTGAACATAAAAGAATATGTAAGACAGTAATAAAAACATCGTGCAAGGCAGTTATTTTTACTGAATTGCTCATATCTTCATTTTCAGGGGCTAGCAGGTTAGTAATAATCCCTACACAAACAGACTTCCATAGAACTAAATTTGCTCCTTTCTCTAAAAAAGCGTCATTCTGAATAAAAATATAAAAGTAGAAACATGCCCTACTACTCAAAGATGACTGTGAGAACTCTAAAAAGTACTGACAGAATGCAGTAAGGCCTCTTCAGCAGTGCATCAAACTTCAGAGAAGGGATGAATGGCAGCTGCAGCACTCCATCCACGATCACTTGCATAGCAATCCTGTAAGACTCCTATAGCCGCACCTTTTACTCACAACAGGAAATATGATTCTGTTACTCAGACTCCTATATGGATGATTTCAAAGTGGTCACTGCATGCTATATGAACCTATATAACAGATACCATACAGAACCAGTTCTAAACAAACAGGCCTTACTTCCCTTTCAAACACTGCTTACAAGGGTCTCTCTTGGTAGATTCATCATATAGAAAACACAGACTATAAACAAATGCCCCAGACTATCAGTTCACTACATAAATTACTCAACAAGACCTTTCCATCAGTAAGGAAAACTCCAGAAAAGTTGTAATGCTGCACCATGGCTACTTGAGTCAACCATCTGAGAATGTACTACACAAGTAACGCAAACAACATCTTCCAAAATACCAAAACCAACCAAGTTTGTAAGCAACGCTTTCAAAAGATATTATGTACTCACAAGACTGGGTGAAGCGGAAGGAACAACAACAACAACAACAACAACAACAACAAAAAAAATAATCCCTCAAAACCCACAGAAGAACCTAAACGTTTTGGAATCTGCTCTATTGTCAAAAGAATAGAACAGAAAAATGGGTATGCTTCTGATAAAATGTCACTCCCAAATAGACTGAACATTCCAAAGTGAGATAATTAAGTCATTCCAAACCAAAAAAACAAATACCTCCTCTTCCCAAACCTAATAATATACTGCAGACACATCCACAAAATGAAACCTCAACCAACTCATTTGCAAATCAGTCATTTCAAGAAATGGTTGAAAATAAAAGCAAGTAAGATAGTGCAAGGAGTCTGCCACAATACAGGCTGAAAAGTTTTTTCCATATCAAGACAGAAGTTTTCCCTCTAAAATTTATGACTTTTTAGGAATACAGGTTTAACAGAACTGCAGATACTACCAGAAAAAAAAAAAAAAGCTATTTTACAAAGAAAAAAAAGCTATCTTTTTTCTTTGTAAAATAATTTTCCAGCATTTTCCAGTAAATTAAACCTCTTCAGGCAAACCAACTGTTTGGCTCAAAATAGCTACCTGAAAAATAGAAATGTGAAGGAATGGAATAAAAAAAGTCAGCTGCTGGCAGCAGCACATCACTAACATAGTCTAGCAGTCAGTGTGGCCTCAGGTTAGAAAGACCACAAGCCTCTAAAATGTGACTGGGCTTGAAAACATGGGAGCACTTGCCTGATACCATGTATGTTCTTGATGGCATAACTTATTTCTCTCCGCAGTTCCTTCTCATTGAATTCCATCTAGAGGAACAAAAGCATATGAGATCACATTTGAGTGGTTTTTATTAACATAGAAAATGCTACCTCTCCAATATAACTAAAAGGCGAGTTCAACTGGCAAAATATTCATTTCTAATGCCCCTAAACAAAGCATAAGTATTATAAAATATTTAAACACTAAGGCAGCAGTAAAGATTGTTGAAAATCATGCACCCTTCTGTTCCAGACATATCAACAGTTGGATAGAATGTGCCAGAAACAGGATTTGGGAAATGCAATTCTTTTCTAAGCTTGGTTTCCTAAAGTGGTGGAATTTCTGTGTTTATGGTCTGTTTATCCTCCCCTTCCCATTCCACTGTTTTTCAACCAAACTTAGGAGTGGTCTCAGTTATGAAGTTAATAAAGCTTTTATTTAAGTTTCTTGAAAGCCAGCTAGGTGGAAGAGAAGTTAGTGTTGTCACAAACAAAAGGGTCATTACTTAAGCCCAACTACCATCTGTTCTGTTGGACTCCTAGCTGACCTATCACCTACATTGAAACCTTGGAACCAGCCATAACTCACTCTGGTTCTTACCCAACTTAAACTTAGGGGATATCAAAGCTGAGCATAAAACACGTCAGGAGGAAGCTTCGGAAAAGTGTCAAAAAAAAACCAAAAAATGTAGACTAGAGATACAGTAGAGTCCATGATGAGGCGGGAGAGAGGATCAACGAATATGCAACACATTTATAGGAAACCAGGTTTCATTAGTTCACATTCAACTGGACTTCTGTTTATTCTGTTACACAAAGGTAACAAGAAAAGATATATCAAAATGAGAAATGTTTTCTCAAAACACCAAATTTTGTTCTGCTTGACCTACCACTATGAAAGCTAGCTGTCGCTTAATTCACTGAATAAAGGGATTAGAAAACACAAGAAACAACTATTTTCCATAACTCTAATTTTAATAGGTACTAGCTACTTAAGCACAATAATTTAAATTTAAAAATTGTAGTTGTTTGCCTGCGCCATCTAACCAAAAGGAAGATGCTATTTGTGATAAAACAATAAAAGAGCAAGGAAAATAGTAAGAACTGGGACTAATGATTATATTCTAATTCCAATATTTTAGAATTCTTAGCCTGTCTCAGTATCCAAAGCTAGAAACAAAGCCAAATGTCTCAATTATAACTTCCTGTAACTCCTTCCACAATTAAGAGTGTATTCTTTCTATCAGACCTTAATCTTGGCTTTACTTCTATTAGTATGAACATAAGAATATATAAATGAAAAAGCACATCAGCAAGACGGATAAATACCTTTACTAGTTCAAACGGAAAACGTTCATGGAAAATACGATTGATTTTGGCACCTCCTGAAAGTTCTAATGTATCAACCTGATCTCCTGATCCTTCGATCCTTTTTTCAAAGTCCACTGAAAACTGTTGCACCATCCTAAATGTCAAAGGTGGGGAGAGGAGAGAAGTGAAATTTAAAAAAAAAAAAGTCGTAATAGAAATGTGATAACATTCATACAAGAGAGAAGTGCTAGGCACATTTCAGATCTTTTTCTTACTTTAGATGCTTCCTCTTTGAAAGGGTAAATTTGAATCACATGTGAACACAGAAGTGAAAAAAAAAGGGGAGGGAGAGATAAAATGGCAGACCTTTCAGGTGAAAAGGAACACAATATTGAGTATCAAGCACCCCTGGAAACAGGCCAAGGAAGGAAGCTGCATGAAGCATTGCCCTTCTTCCTTAGTGTTAAAACCACAATAAAAGATTCCGCTTCCGTGATTCAAAGTCAGATTAACACTCATCTCTGCTCTATCACTTAACAATAACGTTATCAAAGCCTCAGTAGACAGACTTATTTTGTGGATGAGACCCAAACTGCACAGTGACTTTGGCAGTGCATCTCCTCCAACAACAACAGTATTCAATCCATGACTCCTTGAGCCCAAAAGGGTCAACATCTGCCAGGTCAGTTTTAACACAAAGCACAGGTGACACATCACATGACATTTTGCTGTTAGTTGTCAGAGGTATTGTCAGAGAGGCAAACCGCAACAAAGTGGCTTTCACCCACCCCACTACACTCTCACTTAAACATTAAGAATGCCTGCACTAAAGCAGAACAAAGGCCATATCATGACAGTCACCAACAGTAAGTTCCTATGAGAACAGAGCAAGCACACAGTAATATTTCTCCAGAAAACTCTCTTGGCCTCAAATTGCTGTTCTTAATTCCATAAAGCAGCAATCTGTCCTTGCACTTAGTAACCTTGAATGTCTTCCTCATCTCAAAAATGTGCCTAGCTGCTTTTGGAAAGCTCACAAACTTTTAGTATCAGTTCCTGCAGCAAAGAGCTCTCTGTAGCTTAGGTGCACATTAATCATAGGTGGTAGTCCTCCTTGTAGTTTTGATCTCGCCATCTTCGAGGTCTGTGTTGTTCATCTTTGTACCTTTTCCTGTTCTGCTTTCTGTCTTTTCTAGGATTACTAAAATTAATTTAGGGGAAACTCTGCTGAAATTGTAGGGTAAATAAAGTGTTCTGTAACATCAAGCACAGAATTCTTTGCATCTTGCAGATAGAATCCTTAACCATATCCAAATCTTTAAATTTAAAGCCGTTACAAAGGAAAAGAAAATTAAAAAGAGGCAAAACAAATTTATACAAACTAGAAAAGCAGACAAAAGACCACTCACTGCAACAGGGCTTTAGTTTTTCTGGTTGGATCTTCTGGTCTGAAGTTTTTGTATACCTCTACTTCATGTTCTATAGAAAGCAGCTGATTCTGAAGTTTGCTTCTGAAGGCTGGCAGGGTATCCCGAATATGATTAGTAAGTTGCTAAAAAGCAAATAAAAGTCCTTTTTACTGTTAACAGAAAGCTGGAGCACAACCATCTCCTTCTGGTGCCAAGCACATTATAGAATCATAGAATGGTTACAGTTGGAAAGGACTTTTAAGATCACATAGTTCCAACCCCCAAGCCATGGGCAGGGACATCTCACACTAAATCATGTCACCCAAGGCTCTGTCCAACCTGCACTTCAACACTGCCAGGGATGGAGCATTTACCACTCCTTTGGGCAGCCTGTTCAGTGCCTCACCACAGAAAAGAACTTCTTGCTAATGTCTAACCTGAACCTTCCCTGTTTAAGTTTGAACCCATTATCCCTTGTCCTATCACTATAGTCCTTAATGAAAAGTCCCCCTCCAGTACCCTTGCAGGCCCCCTTCAGATACTGGAAGGCTGCTATGAGGTCTCCAAGCAGCCTTCTCTTCTCCAGGCTGAACAGCCCCAACTTTCTCTGCCTATCTTCGTAAGGGAGGTGCTTAAGCCCACTTATCTTCCTGGCCCTCCTCTGGACTTGCTCCAACAGCTCCATGTCCTTCTTATGTTGAAGTCACCAGAACTGCACACAATACTCCAAGTGGGTCTCATGAAAGCAAAGTAGACTCATCAGCCATAGCCTGTGCTAGTCTACCAGTATAGTTCCTTTTGATCTTTGAAGCAATGGAGGCTGTTAAAGAACAATACAATATCCCTTTTGCATACACATTATAAGGAGGCTTGAAAAATTCCTTTGTTCTCTCACTCACTGAGTCTTGTTACTACACACTTACTTGCTTAGTTACACACAAAAAAAGTTATACACATTACATATGTACTTTGAAAATCACCTCTCATCACTCGTCACCACTCCCATTTTGCTGGTTTTCCAAAGGGTGCTTCCCAACTCCCTATATACTTGTTCAGCATGACTCCTTTACTTGACAGCCACAAGACAAGGTGGGACAAGGATGAGATTCTGAACATCCACAGCCCGTTGAGAACAGACATTGATGGAAATGCAGACATAGAGAGTACCTACTTGGCACTCTCCCACCACTGGCATAAATCACCTTCACATGATTTCTGCTCCCTTGTACAAAGTATACTGAAGGAAAGAGATTTTGCCCTCATATTATTCATTATAGAACTTCACCTTTTTGAAACACTTGACTTTTGGCTAAAAAGGTTCTACCACTCAAAACTAGCAGTTTTCATTTCTGAAAATATACCTAGAAGTACTGGAAAATAAATTGAAGGAAAGTAGAAAACAGACTACCAGATCTGTGCTTAACTTATCTCATTTACTTTTGCATCTATATGTTGTAATGTGTTTGAAAAGCACTACCGGTGTCTTACCTGTGCCATAAATTTCTCATGCATCATACCTGTTCCTTGATTAAACCAAAGCAGACTTCTTGCACTATGCTGAAAACCCTCTTCCCGAATACAATCAGAAAAGCTATAAATAAAGATTGTTATATACCAAAACATGTAAACTCAAGATAAAAATTGTTAAGCAGATAGGTACAAAAATCAAAAGCTGGAGTTTCCCTGGAGCACCACCTTGTGGATACAGAGAAATTGAAATATTACCTGAAACTGCAAACACTAATAGGTCCCTAATATCTCAGGGACAAAACTTACATACATCTTCCCATATGTAATATTTTACACACAGTAACAGCAACAAAAGACCAACATACTGAAATAGATAAATCTATAAAACAGCTCACAAAAAAAAGTAAATAGTAAAGCAAAGCAAGCCAGGACAGATAAAATAATCCAAAGGCACATGTAGCTCATGCTTCAGTCTCAAAATTAAGACAAGTGGATTAAACTTTCAAGATATAAAAAGAGGCAAAACATCCTAAACAGACAAAATTGCAGGCTACAAGTTCTTGCATCCTGCTGAAGACTTTGGCTGAGGCACAAATAAATGGCAACAGCATTCTTTCTGGACAAGTCTAGAGCAGACCATAACCTGGCTGTCAAGTTACATCTGCAAAGCCACTGTAGCAAGAAATTAAGCAGGTCAGCCATTAGTTTCCTACCTTAATCAATAACTTTTCTGCTGTTTCCAGCTGCTGCCCAAAATAGACAAAGCCAGCCTGACCTGGTCTTTTTCTATTCTAGACCAACGTCTGTAATTTGACAGTGAACTGGAAAAAATACTATCAAACACTTGTACAAATGCTTAGAACACTGGTCAGCTGATAAACTAAAAAAAAGAACAAACAAAAAAAAACCAAAAAAACCCAAACAAACAAAAAGAAAACACAGCATCACCAGTAATTTTAGAGAGGCAGGCATGACTTCTCTTGCCTTCTTCAAACTTGCATCATTAGGGTCACATGCCATTCAAGAGAACAAATGGCACTATGAAATAAGTAATACTCAAAGACAAGAGAATTATATACTCTTCCAAGGCTGCTGTAGACAGTGTCTTTATTAGGACAGTAAACTATGGGTTTCTTCTCCAAGTAACTGGAAAATAGACCTCTATTTCTTGCTGAAGGAAGCTCTGCTCTGGCAGGCTCCAGCACGAACTCATAGAAACAAACCAAACGTTTGGGCAAAAATAAAGGTAGTGTAAAACCTGTGGTCCGATTACTGTATTTGTCATTTATATCATTAGTACACAGTCATTGCTTCTATTAAGAACTACAATAAAGTGTAGATTTTGAGGTTAAAGTACATACAGTGAACCCTCAGAGCACGTTTTCAAAAAACTGTAAAAATGTCTTTTTTCCCCCCCCTACTTTCCAAATTTGAATTCTAAAAATCCAGCTAGACTAGAATAAATGTGATAGGAATAGGATGGTATACTTCCAGAAGGGAGACAAATTTTTTTTTTGTGTTCATATTCAGTATTCAAGAAAACAAGGGAGTGCAGAACTGTCAGCAAAAGTCAGAAACTACATCTCACAGTAGGTTTTAGATGCTACATGTAATATACAGCTTTGTTTATTAAATTGTGAAAATTAAAAAGCTTAAAAGCAGGAAAGAACAAGCAAGGTTCACTGACCATCATTCATTTTAATATAGATTTTGTATTGGTCCTACCATTATAAAACTGCCTTTCACCACAAGGCCTCAGGTTTTACCTGGTTTAGAACTTTTTGGAGATAGGGCGTTCCCATCCGATCTGCCATGTGCCTATATGCTGGGTGGGAAAGAAAGAATTTCCTTTCTGCTAGAAGAGCTGCCTTAATGTCCTTCTTCCCATCAATGTCTTTCTGGCTTCTGTTTACAACACCGACATAACCTAAAATAAAACAAACCCAATGGGTAAGTCAGTGCAGCTATTGCCTGAGTGACTGAATTCACATTAAATAAAACTAGACTGCCTCAATTCAAACAAAGCTTTCCAATTTAGGCACTTCAGATATTGTTTACAAGTACTCAGCAACCTTAACAGTGTCTAAATTGTTCATCCTGTTTATGTATAACAAATACACTTTCTTTTAAATCACTGATTCTAATACAGAAATATCTGAAACTTTGGTGTACCCCCCCAAAAAAACACTTCAAAATAATAAAACAACAACAACAAAAAAAAAACAACAAAAAAACCACCACAAAACAAAAATCAAAACACATACACAGGTCTACACAGATAAATTACATGATACTAGTAAAATAGAGGAAAAAAATTTTCTCTTTTGCTGGAACAACATGCTCCATGGGAGGAGATGGTGGTGTCATCATTAAGTTATAGCTAGAATCAAAATTCTTGATATTTTTAACAACTGAACAACTGCGGCATTGGATGCCAGAACAATCACATGGGAAATTTCTGAAAGGGTTCACAATTTGATTTACAGTGAGATAATTAAAGCTCTGATGCTTGCTTCTGTCATACGCAAAGAGAAAAAAAAATTCTTTTGTTACAAGCAACAACCTGGCACAGGAGAGAAAACCAGCTCACAACCTGTGCCGACATTTCTTGCTTCCTCTGGAATACACAGTGTATTTTCCACACATATGAAAAAAAAAAAAATTAACTTTATTTCCAATATAACAATAAAAACTAGGAATGTATCAGTCCAACACAACCTTTGATTCACGTCCAGGCCCCACACACAACATCCTTATCCAAACCACTTTCTGGACTGCAAAGAATATAAGCAACTGAACATTTGCACCTCTGCGAAGAGGGAGTAGTTTGTTTTCTAGAATTTCTCTTGCATCTGTTCCATCATCCATCAGATCCAACTTTGTGATCACACCAATCGTCCTAAGGCCTGCTCAAGGTGAAGGCAGGGGAAAAAAAAAAAAAGAAAAGAAAAAACAATAGTGAGAAACCATTTATATTCAGGAAGAACAACTACATCTTACAATTATATAACATCTGACATTCTCAAAGCTTGTATCACACAATACCAGCTACAACTGCAAGTGATGATATATTTGGAAAAGTAGGGATCATCATTGCCAGTGCTGAAATGTGTTCCTCAAATCTCTACTCTCAGCATTCCTATGATATGACTGTATAAAATTTATAATGCAAGTATTATCTAGAAAGCCTATCAACACCACGGTCCATTTTGCTAGGTACTACAGAAATTTCTAGGTAGGCATTGCTCCACTTGCCTATAAGACATACTGCCAAAATTTTAAAAATACGTTTACAGCATCATTACTGAAATGACACTGAGCTAAAAAACAGTTGTGATGTTGAAGCCTATATGAGAATGTACATGTACACATCTACATTATAAATCATTTTTCACACAAGAGATGTTCAATTATGTTACTACATAGAGAATGAGGGGTGGTTATGTTCAACCATGCTTACCTTGAGGGTCCACTTCCTTAGCTAACTTCAGTGCATCCGAGTTGGCCAAATCAGTGTTAGCTGGAGTCACAGCCAGTATCAGACAGTTTTCACGAGAGATGAACTGCATTATCATGTCTCTGATCTGCTGCTCAATATCTGGAGGCTGATCCCCTACTGGCACTTTAGTGATTCCAGGCAAATCAATAAGGGTCAGGCTTAATACTATAAGGAAAACACAGGATCAAACTGGTTAGCATGCCAGACATGTCTAAAGAGGTCTAGGCATCTATGGCTGCAGACAAATTTTAGTCACATACAATCTCACATAAATTACCTTTATAAGTATATAAATATTGTCAATGGCTCAAACAAAATGCCTGATGATCTGAAAAGTACACTTTTTTTTCTGCTAGTCTTTCATCTCCAGGTTAATTAGTACTATTTTGTATTTTAAACATTACAACTGGCACAGGGAATGATACTTCTACCGCATATCCTCAAAAGCTCTTAGGCAAATGAGCATGGCTTTCTGAGCTTTGCTTTGGTAGTCAGTCTCCCTCTGACCATCCTTTCAACAGTTCTCATATTAAGACATTTTGGGGTATGTTTTGTTGTTTTGGGTTAGGTTTTATTGGGTGAGTTGGTTTGCTTGTTGTTTTGGGTTCTCTTTTTTTTTTTTAACTCTGTAACTTCTGAAGTAAGAAACATGTAAAAGTTTATCCATTAATAAAACCTGTTTTGTTCTGACATGATTTCCCCAATACAAGCCACAGTTTCAACTAGAAGCATCCTAGCTTGTTCAAGCCTGTACTAGGGAAACAGAGTACCCTTCAGAAAAACAAGAAAAATGCAGTTCCTAGAAAGGAAACACCAGAAGTATATTTGGGGTCTGGCTAATACAGACAACAGTTGCTGAACTAAATGACTGATCCTAATAAAACAAAGTAAGAGCATTAGGTAGGAAATTTTCATTTTCTCCTGGAGTCAATATGTCCAAACAACATGCTTCAAGGCAGGGCATTTAATTCAGCTTCTCTCCAGTCAGCTATACCATATCTGCATAGCAGAGAAAGGTTCAGAGGCATATATTTAGAGCCAAGGCTGCTCACAGTGTATCAAAGGGAGGCTCAGCATCTCTTTAATTACCTCCCCTCTTATTTTAATCTTTCTGTCATTTGACTCACCATGAAGACATCAGATGAGGTGGTTAGAAAAATAAAGTGCTTCAGTCAACCACACCACTTTTCTCCTGTATTCAAGACAGATTCAATGCAAAACATTTTCTCTAGATTGCCTTCATCAAATTGGCCAGATGGCAACCAGAGGAGCTGACTTTGATCTATACTGGGGGTCTACAACATAAAGCAGCTTCAAACACCATTATTGTCTAAATATATTTTTAATGACAGCAAACAATAAACATCTAATAGGTCAGGGAGAAATAATGACTTCTTAGATCACTGATTGGGGAATCCATCTGGAAAGTGGCAAAAAGAAGTTTTGCCACTAAGTCTCTCATCTCCTATTATTTGTCTTTACTAGCAAGTTAGTATCTAATGGTATATGTACCAGGAGATAGACTGTTTTCATCCCGATGTAGAGTGAGAATATTTTTAAATCATGAGAATATTAAATGGAACAGAGTCTGCATTCTGCCCAGCAGAACACAGAAGTTGATGATTCTTCCAGATGCATATCCACTTTTTACTTCAACTCAGTCTCAGAAGTTTTTTCATCCCAGAAGACTTCTGACTGGGCAATGAGAATGCACACAAAAGGAAACAGAGCTAGACAGAGCTACATAACCCATCACATGACAGAAATATAAAGTAGCATGATTTTACCTACCATGTGGAGAATATATTCTTAAGTTTATAGGAACTGAAGAAATGCCTTTGTTCACTCCTGTTACTCTATCTGTTTCTACTTCAATTTCCTGACGAACTTCATCAAAATCAGTAAATTTCCTCCCTTTGCAGTGTAGAAATTCAGCATACTCTGTGAAAAATATCAACAGCAGCTCCGTATTTCACAGGCTCATAGACTTAGACACCCACTTTCAAGCCCCTACTATTCTTCAGATGCATATGTACAAAAGCATGTCATCATGAGTATCAGGAAAGAATTATATATGAGCACATACTATAGATGTGATTGTACAGATGAAAACCAGCCTACAACAAGAAAGAGTTAGTCAAAAAGTCAAGTTGAATGAATCCCATTTACTGCTTTTAGCTTCAGCATGTCATCTTGTGGAACAACCTAAAAGATTCAAATAGATACCATTTACACTAATAGAACAACGAACTGATTGTGACACATATTTCAGTTTTCATCTGATTACATTTGCCTGCAATACATCACTAAATTGAACAGAAGTCAAGCTCTATATTATCAAAGATTATTAGCGTTTGCTTTCAAAAACTAACAGCCCATGTTACATGATTTTTAACAAAGGAGTTCTGTATATTTTTAGACGTTCACAATGAAAATAAGATCACTTAAGCAGACCATACTGTTTATAATGCAACTCATTTCCCAAAAACTTCTTGTCATCTAAATCCAAACTAAGTTTAAGAAGTTTGTAAAAGCTTTTATTGATATAGCAGTTATTCTGCTTAAGTAGAAGAATACAATTAATTCCTACATCTTCAATACCATAAAACCTGCCCTCTTACCTTTTGGGCATCAACCAGGAATATCAAGGATAGATACAGTCTAATTTGTTAGACTCGAACTTGACACTAGGTCCCTCCCTATTTTGACTCCTGAATCCAAATACGGATACTAATTTCCTTCCCTAGAGGTGCAAAACCAAAAGCACATCTCAGATTTTAGAAGTGGGGTTTCTTCCTTTAAAACACAACACAAATGTTTATCTCACAATAGTGACGCTGTAATCAGAAGTAATGACATAAATGTTAACAACAGATACAAGCTCATTTCCTGATCCTGCTCTAAGCAATAGGGATGGAGAAAGGCTGATCAAAGTTGCGTACGTTCCAGTTAATTTCATCCTGCAATCAAGACCTGATCTCAAAAGTTCCATTTGAACGTTTCTTCCCCAGAAAACATTTCTTGGTAAACAGCCCTCAAATCCCCCAGCAAAGAGCTTGCTTGGTACTCAGAGAGAAGCTCAAGAGATCTGATCCAGGAATACAGATTAATCGAGAGTCTTATGTACCAGTACTGAAGTTTGTTTCCCAGAAGTTGCTTTATTACTATTGGCAGAAGTGTTAAAAAACAATAGTCAAAACCACACATGAAACCAATAGTTGAAGCAAACTGAGAGGGAAAAAAAAAAAAAAGGAAGGAGAGAGAGGAGGGGAAAACAAGTACCAACCTTTCTGTGTTACAGTACCATAATCCCTCCAGATTCAAAGGCAAGGGACCAGAAAACCCACCCTTATTAAGACAAAAATAATACATATCTTATTTCAAAAATGAGAGCACTCAACAAAAACCTCCATTTCATTTCTGGTAACTTAAGAATTCCAGCATCTCTTGCATTCTTTTTTAGCTCTAGCAGCAAAATGACAATAAGTAGGAGTTTTGTATGTTTTGTTGGCAACTATTAAAAAAACAAAACACAAAAAAAAAAAACAACAACAAAAGGAATATTTAAATATTTTGAAGTGAAAGATAACATGGCACACAAAATACTTCAGTTTCTCTAGCACATTTCAGAATTCACATATGTAAAATTTGTCATCTCAAGGTTGGAAAATAGTTACCTACTGGAAAAAAGAACTAACAAGTGGTTCTTCTTTTGTCCCAGTTCTTCATGCACTACTCCTGGCATAACATAAACATATTCTTCTTAGTTACTTCCCTCCCTCTCTCCCCAGTGGTTCAGACTTCCTCAGAAAAATATTTCACAATTCAATAATTAATACTCAGTGCCTAGTTGTAATCAGTTGACTGACTCAGCTGATTGCCAAGGAAGCTTTTCTCTTTGTTCCACTAAATGCTCAGTAGTAATAGGAAAAATTGAAATGGCTTCAAGGTAATTCAAATGAAAACATCAGCTACTTTTTTAGGTGCATTAATATTTATCAATAGCTCATTCCTCCCAACGACACCTGTGGTCCCACTGAAGGAACAGACTTTACAACGGTTCATAACCTGTGGTGCCATGCACAGCCTTCAGAATAAAAATTCAAATTAACAACAAGCACTTTGTTTTGCTCCTTTCAGCTCTTTGCCTGTCCTTGGCAGTGCTGCTTTTAGCCAGACTGGATAAGCACATGCTTTAATGCATTCTTCAGTTTTCAGCTTTAATACACAGAAGAATACTAGGAAAACATTGTATTCACATTTTTGTGGAAATGGACATGAAGCCACACAAGAAAAAGTGATCTTGCCCAAGGCCTAGTTTTCCGATATGTATTTTCTGGAGAAAGCTGAAATCACAAAAAAAGCACAATTAGCTAAAAAATTAAAACATTGCCTTTGCTCAAATCCCTCTCTGGCATCCTTAAAGGCCCCCTTCAGATACTGGAAGGCTGCTATGAGATCTCCACACAGCTTCTCTTCTCCACACTGAAAAGCTCCAACTTTCTCAGCCTTATTATGCGATTTTTTTTTTTTTTTAAAAACACCTCCTTGATCCACATCAAGCTGAACCCAAGACCTTCCAAACTCTGGTGGAGCCCATACAGAATACCCTATGCAGAATAATCTGCTACTAGAGGTCAAGAATTTACCAAGATGAGTCACCTGGATTTTACCAAGAATTCACCAAAATGAAACACCTGGATTCAGGACTCTTCCCCACCTGATTTCATGCAGAGTTGTTCCAAGTCTGTGGTGGTATCCAGTCTAATATGCTCAAGATTTAAGTCTCCAGCTTGGAGTTTTTCAAAAATGTGGCTTAATAAACAGTGCTCCTATAGCAAAACAAGTAAACATGTATAGCAAAGGTGGAATACATTCTACTACTGTCAGTCTTTTAGAGAGATGTCACACAAGCAACAAGAGTCTTGTTAGCTTCAATGAAGCATCCCAGAAAGCTTCAGAATGCTTTTCAAAAGAGTGATTTAAAAACATGCAAATAAACAACATGAGCTTAAGTACATCACCTTTTCTTTGATGATGGATCAGTTTTTTCTGAACAAAGTAAATGCAGTCAAATTAATCTATTTTGACCCTAGCAAATCATTCATTAGTTCTTCACTGAACAGAGAAGCAGTATCAAAAGCCCTTGTTGCCTTACCCAATCTATAATCTCTCTTCTAATTCACCATTTCTCTAGCTTTTCTAACATGCTGAAAATAAAATATTGAGAACTCAGACATCCCACTGCTAATTTCAAGCAGCCAGGCTACAAGAAATAGAAGTACCCTGGTATTTTCTGAAGAAAATACAGAATATCCTGTCAGTGCAGAGGCTGACAAGAATATTGTAGCATAAGAGATTTAAAAAAAATAAAATAAAATAAAATAGTGTAGAGCTGATGAAAGTAAGTAACATAAAATACCAGGTCATGCTCTTAGGAACCAGTGAAATGCTTAATTTCAAGGGTAGACACTCATACCAGAGGAGAAAAACAAGCACCCTTTTTGATTCAATAGTGTTTCATATTCTTGAAAATGTTCTGAAGAAGAAATGTATCACTCTTCTTTCAACCTTCCTCTACACATTATGCATTCTAAACCTTCAACCATTCACAGATATTCTCCAGGCATTCTTCTGAATGCTACAAAGGCAGAGCTCACCAAGATCCTTCCAGGACTGAAAAAAAGTAGAACTACGTTTAAGACTGCATTTCTATTGATACATCTCATACAATATTTACTTCTGTATTTTAGAACAGCATGACATCAGTGAGTTGTGCTCTCTTAGAGGTCCACTGCAATCGCCAGGTTCTTTTCTGAAAACTAGCTATCTAAACATTAATCTTTCAGTATAGAAACAGCCCTCATGCCAGGTGAACTTCTTCCTGCTTTTAAGGCCGTTCTTTTCCTTTGCAAGCAATTTAGATTCCAGTTCTGTCCTCCAGTGTGTTTCAGAGTCTTGTTCATACTTGCCAAATATAAACTTATTAAACATGCTATGTTCTGCCATCCTATCAGTAATACAATATATTTAACATGACCTGGAGTGGTATCCCTTCCACTCAGTAAACAACTGTGCATCCATCTTACAGGAATCCTTTCTAGACCAGGTTTCCTGAAATTGTTTAATACAATAAAGAACCATGCAAGATAATTTACAGCCTTACTCTACCCAAGACAAGACACCTAGCACACCTTTATTTACAAGCCTGCTACCCTGTAACAAAAAAATAAAATTATACTGATTATGACAAGGATCTTTTTTTCTTGACTGTGGTGACTGTTATGCATCTCAAGTATCTTTCAAACTGTTATTTAATAACTAATTACAGATTTCTTTTTTTCTAAAAGTGAGCTTTGATTTTTCTGTCACTTCTCTGTATTATAATTTTTTGAGTACTGGCACATTTAGAGCTATTTCCCAGTCTTTCAGTAAGTGGATTCCATCTTTCCTGATGTCACTAAGCAAGCATCAATCCAGGATCAAGAAAACAAAACTTTCCAGGAAAACACACTAACAAAACCAAGTATTTCTGGGTACGATTAACTTTTCCAAACATGAGCTGAAGCCCATACACTGTTTGAGGGTGCTGATAGGAGAACTGGTTGAAGCCTCAAATTCATGCTGTCAGACATCAGCAGTCACTGTTGATCAGCTCAAGGTTACTCCAGACACTGTTATTAGTACACGCACACACACAGACAGCAGCAAGGAAGATTTGCAGTTTCTGCAACCTTACACTAACAGCTTAAATTCAGGTTTCAGACCAGCAGTGCTATCCCTTTTCCAGCTTATCAGGCCTGTTTGGGTGATGAGTATTTCATTGTCTAGGGAAGGGGTCACCAGTCACTACCACCTTTTCCCCATAGTGATGCCACATTTTACCTTTTCAGGTATGCAACTCCAACATATTCACTAGTCTCTACAGAATCCCTGTTCATTACCTGAATAACTGCCAGAAAATGGGACCCATAAGTCAGCAGCCACTGCCTTCCTTCCTTCCCTGCTAAGTGCCCAGTTTCTCCCCAACCACTGGCATTGTGCCACCTTTCTAGTTTTTGTCCTTCAAGACCTCCAAATGTCTTCCTGCTGCTGACATCTCTAAGACGATGTTAGCCGAAACAACCAATCTAAGGTTCTTTTTATAAATTTGTCATTTTCTGTTAGAGGATTGGTTTTGCCACCAGATGGCAGTAAAAGATGGGTATGCTTGAGGAGCAGTCTCAAGAAAAGACTGGCTTTAAAGCTCAGCAATTTCATTAGAGCATCAGCAAGACTTCAGGAAAAAAAATATCAGAATGACTTTTGAACCTCATGTGATTTACTTTCCATTTAAGTGCTCTAATTAACAGAACTGAAACAAAAGTGGGCATTGTACATATGACTCATCTAAAAATGTCCACCTCAATAATTTTCAAAATCTGTTAATCTGACACTTCTTTAGCAAAGAAACTGAAGCAAGACCATGAAGAAAACCCAAAATCCCTCCAAAAGCAGCTATCAAAATGAGGAAAATAACCCTCCTAGAGCCAAGGTATTTTAACATGTAAATAACAAATAACAGGCTTTATATAGTAGGCAATGTTTTTTTAACAAACAGAAGAACAAAAGCTTCAGCTAAAACCCCAGTACATTTTTTGTTGCGAGTGCTGTTTAAAAAGCATACTACCCAACTTGAAGAAATCTAGATAATTATCTCACTTCCACAGGCAGGAGACAGCACAGCAAGAAGAAGAACAGGTTGCCTGATTTAGATGGAATATGTGGGGGGAAAAAAACTGAAAGAAAAATAAAATAAAAAAAAACAAACAAACACACAACTCCTTTAATTAATTATGGTAACATGTGACAAATTACTACAGGTTAGCATGCTTACTGCAAAACTTGCAGAGGGAAGATTAAGAGTTGAAATGGAACTAACATACCTTACACAGAATTCAGTTATGTTGCTTTAAGACTACTGGACACTAATGCTGCCTAAAAATTCTTGTCAGCTGTGTGCCAACACTTATATCTCAAAACACAGACAGGGAAAAGTCCTTATAAAAGTATAACTACAGGAATATGTGGTTCATTCCTCCACCTGAAAAGGAATCATGAGTAAGAAAGTGAAAGATCAGCCCTCTAGACTCACGGGTAACTGCTGCAATACCACAACAGTTTAGCATTTGAAACAGACGGTGTCTACTGGGAAAGAATAAACTCCCTGTATCTTACACAACAGCAGACAAATACTGAAAGAACTGGCATGGTTTTTACCTGAATTTAGACATCAGTCTAACAAAATAAAGTGCCCTCACATGCAACTTCTCACCCAGGAAAAAGCAGGTGAAATTCTTCCCATGTACATCCTCAGAATGGCTAAGCTAATTTATCACCACTGTCTTGCCATGTGAAACCTGAAGTTCTCCATCAGAGATCCTTCTGGCTAACAGCACCATGTCCACACCTGTGCCTTCTAAAAACTCACTGAACTGCATCTTCCCAGACAGGACTATTTTCTCAAGAACTATTCTGTACTCAGAGCTCCTTCAGAGACTAGCAACAAAGTCACAAGACTCTTGTTAGACCTGACACTGGACATTGCCGACATTGTGGAATTGCTCAGGGCCAAGTGCAGTGACCAGAAAGAATATCAAAGTGCATGTGGGTTGCTTGGCAAGCCAGGTAGGACATTTTTTTCAGTTGTGACTTTAGGTCTGTTTATTACAGAACAAACACTGCATGCTTGTTTAGTCCAATTCTCTCTTCCAGCAAGAGAATGTATATAGTACTTTTCTTTGGTAGAAGAAGAGCAACTGAATCAAAAATATGAGATGAAGAATAGGGATGAAAATTTGTGACCCTACCTACAGGGCTGCCAATGAACTACTTTGGGACATGTAACGAGCATCAGCCTCTAGCTGCAAGAAGATACCTTGGAACCTCAGAATATTTACAAGATGGAGATTATTCCCCCCACCCCCTTCCTCCTCTAGCTAGTACATTAATTTCTTGGGTACAGGCCACATTTGCAATTTCATCTGAAATGTAGTTGGGCAGTCCCCAAAAAGACTGCAAAGTAGGCTAGTCAAGGACAAGTCAGAGTCCTTCAGAGGACTGTAAATTATTTTTAACATCCATATTCTGACTTATTCTATGCTACTAGGTATTTCTCGTATTATCACACTCAGAAGAAAATAGTCATAACTAGTAAAGACTGATTTGTTAGTTACAATATTTAATTAAAACCTTTGTCTTTGCCTCTAGGATTTCAGCAGAGTACAGTATGTGCATGGACATGGAAGTGCAAATGGCATAAAGCCATTTGGGAATTGTACTGTTGCCACCAAAATATGTTAGTGATTAAAGGAGGTCAACAGGTTGCTATAAAATAGCTTTGTACTAATTACACAGATTTATTTTTTTTTTTTAAGGGAAGTAAAAAAAGTTCTTAAAACACTCCACATCTCATGAAATAAATTTCTTGGTAGTGAATTGTTTCATGTTACCCCTTCCACAGGAGTAACCACTCTTTCTCCAGATATGTCAGATCTTTCAGATGCTGGAGGGCTCCTGATAACTCCTCAGGGGCTGCATCCTTCAGTGACATGTACAACCCTAATAATGAGTGGTTAAGCTTTCCCTTCAACTGCCAATCCTTATCCCTTAGTGCAGTGACTCAAATGAAGCTTTAACCTCCTCAATCAAATTCATATTCCAAAAATGTTCTCAGCCAGTTGCAAAATATTGCTAAAGTATCTTGCAGTCATCTCTGCATGCCTATATAGAAAGTACGCCTTCCCTTCCAAGGAATAATCTTAAGAAGTTACTTTTAAAAGAGACAAGAAAGGTACTAGGATTAGATATCAGTTAAGCTTGTTACAGCATCAAGAAGCTGATACAATCCTCTACTTTCTATAACATTTTAGATAACTATGGACTTGATAAAAATCAGTTCATCATCTGCTTCCTGTAAAAGAACACTGTGCTTCTCTAAGCAGTTTTCTTTCGTTTCCTTTTTTTTTTTCTTTAATTAGCTCAGAAAGATAAAGGTAGTTTAAAAGATAAAGTTATTTGGAATTTCACCACCAAAAACAGTAACAGTGGAACAAAGTTTAAAGAAAGTAACAAAATAATTAAAGCTTGCATTTTAAAGGTCTTGGCAGCTAATCCCAAACAGAAACACACAGCATTTCCCAAAGGGAGAAATACGTCTTGCCATTCAGGAAACACAAAATTACGCTGAAGCTCAGTTCTCCAGAATTCTTAAAGTTTTTGTTGCGTTAAGTTATAATGAAGAACTGCTTTTCAGCAGAGAAGGTACCTACACAAAAACCTAGAGGCCTATCTAAATCTAGTAATACTATGCAAACATATTAATGGGAAAAATACCAGAAAAAGAGAAGCGCTTTCATTGCCTCCTTAACCAAGCCAAATTATAATGATTTTACAAAATAGGACAGTACAGACCAGTTGAGGTAAATTTAGGATGGATGTCTAAGAATAAGTATTTAACCACTTGAGGTTAGAGCGTAAGAGTTTACTTGCTAATTCATATGTCCCCGCATATGTCATTTTGTTAGCATTGCTATCACAGAGCTCGATTCTTATTTTTCTGCTGCTTTTACATGGTGCTGGGAAAATTAGATGAAGATTATCTATAGCTAGGCCTTATTCATGCATTTCTGCATTCTCTGTCAGATCAAAAGCCAGATATGCAGAAATAACAAGTGTTCATATCTCCAACTAAAATGAACTTCATCTTTTAATATTAAGTACCTTAAGCATATTACACACTTGAAAATCCTAACATTTCTAAGCTGAGCATACAGAAATACTGGATTCCAGTTTTTTCCTCTCCTTTACACAGTATAAACACTATGGAAAATTTCATAGAGGCATTGAAAGTAAGAATCAGCTTTAGAAGCAGTAATTCAGGAAAAAAGATGGAGCCTAAGCAGACTGAAGTATATCATCTTCCTGCTGAACAACAAAAAAGACCTTTTAGGAAAGTAAATGCATGTAAAAACTTAATTACACCTCACACAGAGACAGACTAAAGTTCTACAGGCAGCTTCAATTTTCATCGTGTTCCATAATTTAAAGGCCACTTGTTATTTTGAAATTCTGGTTTGGATGTTATTTCTTTTTATAGCGTTAAGCAGAAGTCAATAGTAAAAAAGTTATTTTGTTACTTACATAGGTTTAGAAGCAACAACAACAAAAATTGAATGATGGGAAACCATAGGTGCTTTTATATATGTTAGGGAACTGAGCTACACAACAGCACATTGTACTCAACCAAGGGGCAATTAAAGTGGTGAATTCTGATGAAAGATCTCAATATGCCACATAACTCAGTAGTATACCCATACTGTATTTTTATTTTTGACCAGACAAATACACAGAAGCCTTGTTCTCCCCCAGTCTACCTTCTGCTCTACTTAGTGCAGTGAGCCCAACCAAAAAAGACAAGTCATAAAAACAAGCTGTGTGGAATCAAATCTGTGTGCAGTGAAGCAAAAGTTAAAGGTAGAAGTAGAGCAATTTTGGAATGTTAACTAGTACAACTGTAAAGCTCCTCAAGAAATGAATAAACCAAAGCTAATTTCTAAAACATATTGTATGTAATGTTTCTCCACTGCCTCAAGTTTGATCTTGAATTAAATTTACTATGTGCTCAAGGATTTAGATTTTACTGTTTTCACAGATAAAACAATGAGATTAGGTGGTCATGAGCACACAGTTTTGAAGCAGTGGTCCTTGGTTACAGGCAGTTGCATCTTTCTTGACACTGCTAAGTTTTCCCATACTTTTTTTTTTTTTTTGCTCTTGCTGAAGTAAGTCAGCACTTTGTTCAGGCATTTAGCCAAAGAGAGAAAGAGGTTACCTGTTTTGGCAGTGATGAGCTGCAGGACCAATGGTCGTCTTGTTACAATTCCAGAACCTCGTGGAAGAAAATCCCTAGAAACATTAGAAAAAAGACAGTTACTACCCAGAAAGCACTGTGCAATTACATAAGATACTGGACTAATTTGGAACTTTCTCTATACCTTCAGCTGCAATGAAAATAGAAAGTTGGTGGGGATGGATTTAAAGCAAACACTACTGTAAAGTAGGGCTGTTAATTTTTGTTCAAAATAGCAGTAGGTCATTAGACAAATATATATTAAAACTAAACGTCTAAAAATTCAGTTGGGGTATTACAAATTTTCTTTCTTCATGACCATCACATACAACATCTCAAAATTCACCTTGCTTAGTAAGAGTACCTAATGCCATGCCCATATTTTTCGGCCTTTTGAAAACAGAAGTAGCCACACCATATCCTTGATTTGAAGAGGGTATGGACATATGAATACACACACTCACACAACACAACAAAGCTCTGGCCAAACCAAATTGTCAGCAGTCTGCACCTACTCTTTCAAATAATTCTTCCAGTTCAAATCCCCGAATAACTTTTACAGCAAACACATCCTCCTAGAAGTCTGAGTAAATGCTAAACACTAGAAGTACTCTGGGACAGCAAGAGGGAGTGTTGTACCAGAAAGCAAATGATTAAGCAAAGACAGCAACTCTATCATACCATTATGCATCCCCATGATCCTTTCTATGCCTCCAAAGACAAGGAAACGCTCTCTGCAACCAAAACCCTAGAAAAACTTTGAATCAACTGTTAGTTGCAAAACCAACGATCAGAAACTCAAAGAAAAATAATATTTCTTTTCCCCCAGGATCTCCTGCATTTGCCATATCTATTAAACTCTTAGAAAACTTGAGGTTCGGTGATACTGAACCACTTTCTTGCCTGTCTCAGGAGCATTGCTAACTCACCTCTCCTGCTCAGGTGAGAAGCAATGCAGCAAATGGTTAGGGCGTAAATCTTCAGTTAAATCAGGGAGCTGATCTGGGTGACTGTGCTGTCACATGTGCTAGTGCCAGTAGGAAGGGTGAGGCAGGAGCGTGTACTGTGTCTGGGACAGGTGAGGAAAGGACAAGAGTCAAAGGAAGAAAGACACAGCCCTGTCAACCCTTTAAACAGAACTGCTTAGATGGGTTTGCTCAAGCCTCTTGATAAACCACATCTTGGCACAATCATTGTGTGTCTTCATACCAACCTTGTACTACGTAACAGATGTCTGATTTTTACAGTTCCTTTAAGGCAGCACACAAACTTAGAAAGTTTAAAAGAAGCCTAGAAGGTACATGTATGAAAAATAAAACACACAAATATTTTATCAAACTTCAGGATATTATTTGTGCAAATCAGAGGATATTAGGTCTTTGGAGTCCCAGCTCAATACAGGCTTAGGAATGTAACAACAGCGCACCTACCTACCTAGTGCCAGCAAGGTAACAAAGCTTTGGCAGCCTGAAGAGAAATACGGCAATTCTACCCATGATACAAGCTCTAAGATTTCTTTCCCACATGAGCAAGAAGTTCTAAGGCTCTGAGAAACAGAACTGGCAACTGGCTGTCAGCTGTACCCCACACCACTTTAGAACTCCTCAGAATTTTGAATGCAACAATGTTAATTTCTAGCTAAATAAAAATCTCACTTTCTCAGTACCTGTTAATACATGTTCCCAGTGTTATTACCGTGCAAACTAAAGCTAAAGCACACCATAAAAGGAGAGGCAGTTAAAACACAAGCTAGCTCCTTAACTTTTATACTCAAACACAGATCTGCAGGCAAAAGCACAATTAATTAGAAATTCAAGTAATCTCTAAAACAAAGATACTGAAAAAAAAACATCAGGCCTACTGATTTAAACCTGCTGTAACATTTTACCATGCTCAAGACAGCAACAGGATACAAGAACTAGCTTAAAGTTTTCACAAGGTCTTATCACAACTTCAATACCTACCAAAAGAGAGAAACCTGTGCCTCAGTGAAGTGCTATCTACTTACATTTTCCCAGGGGCAAGAGAAGAACATTTTAATGGAACATATTCATCCCTGTATATGCACTGAAATTACAACAGCCCAGGATGTAGAAAATGCCTGTTAAGCTACAGTTTCATGCACTGATTTTCAAGCACCTACTAGCTGATTTAAGATAAGTAAATAAATAAATTTACCATCATGAAGCTAAAAGGAATTGTCTACCATTCAGCAAGCTGATCAGCTGATTCAGGACAAGCTGATCACACAAACCAAACTAAGGTCCTCTACAGTACCACATGAGGCAATACAATCCTTCAGGGAGTCAAAGGCTGAAAAGACATTGATTTTCTGCTTCAGACTAAGCACATTCAGAGATAAAGAACCCTGCATTAATGCAACTCCCAGTTATACAACACTGACCTTTCCACAACACCAAATTTACAAAGAAATGCAAGATACCAATTTTTCCTTCAGAACACCCTCTTAACATGTCCAAAGTAGATGGCATTTGATAACCTTCTCTAATAAGTTGAACTACCATTGAAAAGCCCACTGTTTGTTGAAGCAAGCATCAGCAGAAAGAGGTTACTGCTCGGCAGATGGTTAGCTGTGTTGATCACATAACCAACTAAACAATACACAGCAGAAGGACATAGGTTTCTCCTTGAAATGAACAGTTTGAAGAGGAAAAGAAGACAGTAACTGAAGGAAACAAGGGGTTCATGGGTAGAGTTCAGGACAAAAATCCACCCCACCATCCCCCCTAACTCCTTGATGGGTATCCTACAAAGGAGACTACCACCTAAATTAATAAATCTGCCCCTTCAGGGACAGGGAATTAAAAAAATTTAAAAATTCTGAAATTTCAGATTCAGCCACAAGGCAATGGCATCTGTGCACTTTCTCTGCACAACCCAAATCAGATGTCACAAATAAAAACATAAACTCTGCTTCTAGCAAAAGGCACTTCTTTAAACACACAAAGAAACATGAGCCAAATCTGAGACATAACTGGCATTTGGGGGTGGGGGGGACCACAACAACAGAGGAGGGAAGCGACACAGTACCACATTACAATCCTAACAGAAGGGAACCCAATAAATAGTGTACACTGCTTCCATAGAAATGCCTACTTTGACATCCACAAGGCAGGATGCAGGTCTTCCACCATCACCTTAGTAAGGCAAACCTTCTATGCAGGGTTTGCCAAAACAAACAAACAAAAAACAACAACAACAACAAAAAAAAAAAACAAGCCACAATGCATTAGGAACGGCTCCACTCCCTCATTTTGCCCCTTTAATTCCTACTTCAATAAAATTCTTCTTAAAGAAGAAAAAAGTAGCTTCAGCAGCAAGAAATATAAAAAGATTGAACACAGTGGAGTCAGGGGTCTCTTCTGACCAAAAAAGAATGCCCCTCAACATCCTGGTGGCACACTCAAGGTCCTTTTAAGGACAGCTTTGAAAGAGCTGCTTTTCCACACCTTTTGGTCAGTGTTTCATGAGAACTAGGAAGAAAATAAAAAAATCACATCAGAGTTGAAGCAGCTGCAAAGAAATCCATCTAGAAAAAAAAGTACATGCCTAAGCATTTGAGCACAAAGACATCACCACCAAGGGAGAGAAAAGGCTGTCTTTTGTGGTGGGGGGAGTGAGCCTGTGAGTACCTGTGTGCACAACTGCAAGAGTACTTCACAATAACAAGGTGCAGAAAACAAGAATGAAACACAATGTGCAAGAACACATCTGTGAATGGAAGATATGCTCCTTTAAAAGACATGCATTCTGCATTAAGAATCAAACTAGTTTTACATCTTCATTCTTACAGCATTTTCATCAAAAGGTACCCTGCTGACAGCAGCTACAGTAGCTCAGCAGCAATGCCACTGTGACATGACAGTTTGGAGACCAGCAGCAAAGCCAATCTGGTATTGCCTAGCCAGCACTGAATATATCAAATGCAAATAAGAGGCAAGCAGCCAGGTCTTCCAGAACATCACTCCAATAACTCTTCAATCTTAGAATGTACTCATCTGTTAGAATACCATTAATATTTTCAAGAGCAAAATATTTTCAGGGCCAAATGATTTTTACCCTAAAAGCTATAAAATTACTCATGTCTTACTGCACAACACAGAATCATAGAATCATAGAATAGTTAGGGTTGGAAAGGACCTTAAGATCATCTAGTTCCAACCCCCAAGCCATGGGCAGGGACATCTCACACTAAACCATGTCACCCAAGGCTCTGTCAAACCTGCACTTGAACTCTGCCAGGGATGGAGCATTCACAACTTCCTTGGGCAACCTGTTCCAGGGCCTCACCACCATGACAGTAAAGAACTTCCTCCTTATATCCAGTCTAAACTTCCCCTGTTTAAGTTTTAACCCGTTACTCCTTGATCCTATCACTACAGTCCCTAATGAAGAGTTCCCCCCCAGCATCCTTGCAGGCCCCCTTCAGATACTGGGAGGCTGCTATGAGGTCTCCATGCAGCCTTCTCTTCTCCACGCTGAACAACCCCAACTTTCTCAGCCTGTCTTCATATGGGAGGTGCTCCACTCCCCTGATCACCCTCACGGCCCTTCTCTGGACTTGTTCCAACAGTTCCATGTCCTTTTTATGTTGAGGACACCAGAACTGCACACAATACTCCAGGTGAGGTCCCACAAGAGCAGAGTAGAGGGGCAGGATCACCTCCTTCAACCTGCTGGTCATGCTCCTTTTGATGCAGCCCAGGATACGGTTGGCTTTCTGGGCTGCGAGCACACACTGCAGCCAGCTCATGTACATTTTCTCATCGACCAGCACCCCCAAGTCCTTCTCCGCAGGGCTGCTGTGAATCTCTTCTCTGCCCAACCTGTAGGTGTGCCTGGGATTGCCCTGATCCAGGTGTAGGACCTTGCACCTGGCTTGGTTAAACTTCGTAAGATTGGCATGAGCCACCTCACAAGCGTGTCATGGTCCCTCTGGATGGCATTCCTTCCCTCCAGCGTACCAACCACACTGAAAACAGAATTCCAGGTAGGGGAAATGTTTTCATTTAGGATCTCTCTGGCATACTAGCAG